ATCACATAGCTAAAGCCACCAAATCACTGGGCGAAACCAGATGTTTTGTATTTTTGTGCGCCACGCCAGTGCGCAAACAATGGAAACCCTTTCAAAGTCAGGTGTCAATATCTAGCGAATAGAGGGAACAAGATATTTTTAGAATGAAAACCACTTTTATTTCAAACTCGTGGAGAAAGCGGTGCCTCACATTTTACAATCTTCAGCAAAAAAACTAAAAGTACACAATACGGAGTTATTTAAGACAGAGATTTGCCTGCTACCACTCAACTTGGCAAAATGTGGCGCCGACAATCAACAACTGAATGGTCAAATCCTCAAGCGAAATGAAAATTTCAAGCGTTCCGGTATCAAAGCAAGATCTACAAAAAACCGGTAAGTGCTTTACAGTTGTAAAAAAAAGTGTATTCAAAATATAATGATTAAGACTGGAATTTCTCGGTAAACTCTGGCGAAAAACAGTTCAGTTAAAAGTCACAATTTTAACTGTTTTTCTTTCATCGCAGGGAGTCGCTCGTTGGTGTCAATGCTGGACTGAAAGTTTATGGAAATATTTACTGGAGAATTATTAAAAGTTACTCCAGTAAACATTCCGCCAACTGCTCCTGCCATCAGGTAACTAGAACGACTGGCATTGCTGTCAAGGTCACTAGTAGCTGCTGTGTTGCTTGGCGTGGCTGAGCTATTGAGAACAATCTCCCGTAAAGCATGACTTGAATAGCCGTTGGTAGTTGTCGCGCTTGGCGTGGGTTGAAACCGGCCAACTTATTCGACATTCGCCGCTGTTTTTCCAGAGGATTATGGCTGTAGCTGGATATGGATTCCGGATTGGAGTGGCCAGTGAGCTCTGATATCTCCACTGGGTCGAAATCATCACTGAGCGCTTGGATGACAGTTCTTCGACCACTCGAATTTGTGAATTTGCCGTCTAGTGTTTTTTGAAACCATGTTGTATCTAAAAGAGGCCAGTTCGTCGTCTGTATAGGCTACAATGGTTTGGATTTCGGGAAAAGATGCTTGACCTTTTTCGGCATTGATATCTGTTTTGGTTTTCTTTCGTAACGCATGTTTGGTTTTCCTCGGCGAGAACTGTCGTTTGGCGGCTTTCTTCCCTCGTCTCTGGTATTTTGACTTTTTCCTATGCGTTTTCTCGTACTTTTGAGCGTGAGTGGTTTCCTCCAATTTTCTAAAAATTTCAATTTCAATTCAAAATTCGGAAGACATTCGTTTTCTATAAATTTGTTCATATTTGTTCATATTTTCATAGCACTAGTTGTATTTACGTTTTTAACCTTCTTAACAATAATTTTTGCTCGCGACTCACGTCAGCGATAGCGCTTTATGTATTAGTGCGATTCCACGCTAAATACCCTCTCTTCCGGTTGACGTATTGACCAATCAGAGCGCGTGTTTACTTTAAGCTATACGATTCTATACTAAAACCACTATTCACCTCCACTTCGGTGAATGATTTTGAAAGATATAATGAGGCAATTATCCTAAGGCCACAGGAAGGTTGATCAAACACTTTACAAGACTGTTTCGTTTTCAACTAATTCTGTGGACTACTGGTACTTGTGGTAAGCTGGGGAGGTCCTATACTCACCCCAAGTGTAGGTTTTATGTTCAGTCTTAGCATTAGGTTTTCACAAAACGATTTCGTTTGAAAACTTTGTTGGCGCTCACCTAAACAGTGGGACTCGCTCGACACTCCTGTCTTGTTAAATGTTCGTTTATCTCCTGGACACTTCTTCACTCCCTTTTGCCTTTCTCATCCCTATATGTGTCTGACAGACATCGGAGACAGGAACTGTTAAAACCAGGAGCGAAACGAAATCCAGGAGCACAACCTAAAGAAATAACATTCAGTGAGTACAGGCGACCTGTAAAACTTTAATCATTCAATTAAATGAAATTTTGTCTGAGCAGTTTCCAATTGGGTGTCGAAAAACAAAAACCAAGGAACTTACAACTACCAGTCAGAGAAAAAGTTAACATCATCATTAGCCAATAAGGACCCAAAGTAGACACAGGCGACCTGCTTGAAGCGCGGGAAAACGCGAGTGATCAAGTCGTGATTAGCTTTAGTTTTGCATTTGATTGGTTGAGATGGTGGCACGAATATTCTGGACCAATCACAGAAGGAAGTAATGTAAAACCAAAGCAATGCAGGATCACTTTCGATACAGGAGGCTAGTAAGCAACAGTGATGACTATTCATGATCTGGAGACCATCTTTAGGGAAAAAAAGATTAAAAAGTAAACTATGTGCAGGAGGAATCTATAAAACTGAAATATTACCTGTGTAGAAATGATTTTGCGCTCTCTAAAAAAAAGTCAAATGTGAATCCCCCATTTGGAAACCACTAAAGAGAGAAAGTGCTTTAGCGCAGTTTCGTTGCTGTCACACCTGTGCAGTTGACCTGGTTCGTCATTCCTGTTTTACCAAATGTTCCTGTATTAACTGGACAAGTCTTACAAGATGTTCGTCCTTGTTCATCCTGATAAGTGTCAGCAGGGCAAGGGAGACAAGAACGGCCTGTGAAGAAGTGAAATCCAGGAAAACAACCTGAAAAGTAATACAATTAGTCTGAAACGTTTGAGAAAAACACAAAAGCTGTTTTCCATCGATGGAATGTATATTACCCTAAAAAAGAGGCAAACACGCACACGCGCACACACACACACACACACACACACACACACACAAAATAAACCAACAGTCTTACCGCATTTAGTACTTGACACCCTGTTTGAGCCAACGGCACAGCAGGGCGGCGGTATATCCCCACCACAGCATGACCTCTTCTCCATTGAAGATGGCTGGTTAATTTGGTATGTGGCGTTGTTTT